GAAAGAGTCCAGAGGAGGGCAACTAGGATGATAAAGGGGCTGGAGCACCTCCCCTATGAGGAAAGGCTGAGAGAGTTGGGCTTGTTCAGCCTGGAGAAGAGAAGACTGAGAGGGGACCTTATCAACACGTACAAATATCTTAAGGGTGGAAGTCACGAGGATGGAAGCAGTCTGTTTGCAGTGGTGTCCAGCGACAGGACTTAGGGGCAATGGGTGCAAACTGAAACATAAGAGGTTTCAGTTGAATATGAGGAAAAACTTCTTTACTCTAAGGATGACAGAGCACTGGAACGGGCTGCCCAGGGAGGTTGTGGAGTCTCCTTCTCTGGAGATATTCAAAGCCCGCCTGGATGAAGTCCTGCGTAGAATGCTCTAGGAGAGCCTGCTTTAGCAGGGGGATTGGACTAGATGATCTCTCAAGGTCCCTTCCAACCCTTGCGATTCTGTGATTCTTCTCCCCAGTCTCATAGCTCCTAAGTTGCAACAATTCCGTTTTTAAAAACTGAGAGGAAGTGGAAATAGCAATAGAAAAAAAGTGTGGGGTTTTAAATTCTCTGCAGAAAATGAAGGAAGTCTCTGGAGTCAACTGTATGGTAGCATATACATAAGATGTAAACAAATGGGAAAGGGAGCCAGGAGAGCTGGCTAGAAAACATTTTTTTGAATGTTCCACAATCAAAATTAATCTTGGAGATGATGTAACCTTCCTGTACCAAACAGATAACCATTACTTTTTGTGTAACACACAGTATTGTGTGCTGATTTTCAGTGTGCATGTGGGCTATGCAGTAGTATCTTTGATCAGTGGTTTGCTCTTGGGTGTCCCAGTTTGCAACCAGTAAATGGTTCCAACTACTACTGTTCCTATTCACGTGTCAGCTTTCTTTTGTTGCACTTTTATTCCCCTTAGGTCCTCGTGTTGTTCAGCGTAGCTATGAACCTCAGTCTGAAGGGACCAGTGAAGTAACCACAGCTCTAGAATGTTATATTCAGATACTTGTAGAATATGTGTTTATGTTAGGAGGGTTTATTTTGCGTCTGCTCTATGTTCATTGGTCCTAGAAAATGCTCACAAACCCCTCGTGGTGAACTTGAGACTGAGGGTATAAAACCAACAGTCTCAATTGTTGCTGTCAAATAGAGAGCGAGGATGATCTAGACCATACCTCTGAACGTCAGCGAGCTCATCCTGTGGCTTGCTTTACTTTCAAGGTAGGTGAGCTCCTTCTCCTTGCCCTTGATGGTCTGGCTGAAGAGCAAAGGAGGTGGTGTAGCCTGGTAGGAGGCAGCGGGCAGGCTGCACTTGCTGGTAGGCTGAGACAAGTGGGCTAATCTGGGAGAAACACGGCAGTTGGTAAAGGAAGCGCTTAGAAAAAACCTTGCTTTCTGCTATTAACTTAGGGTTTTTCCCATAACTTTCATACTGAAAACCAGTAGTGTTCATGGGCACGAGTGTTTTCAGCCTCATGTGTGCTTACTACTGAACAGATTAGGGTATTTGTCCATTCTGGTATTTTAAGTGGTTGATGGTGAACATTGAGAGAAGAAATTAGGTCTGCTTTTGATGGATGATACAGACAGACCTTAACGTGAACAGCAAAGGCGGGCCCAGATCCTGCTGCTTTGAGCTGAGAAGGCGGCGAGGTTCTGAAATGGGTGGTTCCAACAATGGGACCATTGTGCTGCAGTCACGCTCGCTTCTTCCTCTGTTGCATTCATTGGGTAGGGAAATGGAGTTCCCGTGTGGCGCCTTGGGTGAGTCAGTCAGACCAGTCCTGCTCTGCATCCTCACAAGAATGGACAGGATTCTGTTGGGAAAATGAACACAGCGTACCTCCCAAGAAGAATTTTCTAGTCCAGTAGTCACTGCCACTGAAATGAGTTGCCAGAGGATCTCAAGATAAATAATGACTGGGCAGTGTGATGGCAAATGTTGCATTGAATATCTTGGAACATACAAAGTAATGTGTGTATGGTTGGGAATCCTGTAATTATAGAATCACAGAATCGTTTGGGTTGGAAAAGACTTTAAGATCATAAAGTCCAACTGTTAACCCAACACTGCCAAGTGTCCCCCCCCCAAACCCCGTCCCCAAGCGCCACGGCTGCCCGGCTGTTAAATCCCCCCAGGGCTGGGGACTCGACCCCTTCCAGCCCCTGACAGCCCCAAGGGGAACCAAAACCCACCTCACTACAACCTCCTGTCAGGCAGTTGTAGCGAACAATAAGGGCTCCCCTCAGCCTCCTCTTCTCCAGGCTGAACACCCCCAGCTCCCCCAGCCGATCCTCAGCAGCCTGGGGCTCCAGACCCCTCACCAGCTTCGTTGCCCTTCTCTGGACACGCTCCAGCCCCTCAATGTCTCTCTCATAGTGAAGGGCCCAAAACTGAACACAGTATTCGAGGTGAGGCCTCACCAGTGACAAGTACAGGGGCACGGTCACTGCCCTACTCTTGATGGCCACACCACTCCTGATACAAGCCAGGCTGGCCTTCTTGGCCACGTGGCCACACTGCCAGCTCATATTCAACTGCCTGTCAACCTCAGGTCCTTTTCTGCCAGGCAGCTTTCCAGCCACTCTTCCCCAAGCATTGCATGAGGTCGTTGTGACCCCAGGGCAGGACCCAGCCCTTGGCCTTGTTGAACCTCATACAATTGGACTGGGCCTGTGGATCCAGCCTGGCCAGGTCCCTCTGCAGAGCCCCCCTCCCCCCCCAGCAGATCCACACTCCCGCCCAGCTCGAGGTCACCTGCAAACTGGCTGGGGGTGCCCTCGATCCCCTCGTCCAGATCATTGATAAAGATGTTAAACAGAACTGACCCCAATACTCAGCCCTGGGGAACACCACTTGTGACTGGCTGCCAGCTGGATTTAAGTCCATTCACCATAAGTCTTTGGGCCCGGCCATCCAGCCAGTTTTTTACCAAGTGAAGAATAAGCCCGCCCAAGCCACGAACAGCGAGTTTCTCCAGAAGAATGCTATGGAAATGGTGTCAAAGGCTTTACTAAAGTCTAGGCAGACAACATCCACAGCCTTTCCCTCCTCCACTAAGCGGGTCACCTTGTCATAGAAGGAGATGGGGTTGGTCAAGCAGAACCTGCCTTTCATAAACCCACACTGACCGGGCCTGATCACCTGGTTGTCCTGAACGTGCCACATGATGGTACTCAAGATGATCTGCTCCATGACCTTCCTTGGCACCAAGGTCAGACTGACAGGTCTGTAGTTCCCCAGATCCTCCTAAAGGGGGGGGGGGGAGCCATTAGTTAATTTATTTGGTGAGCCAAAGAAACTGATTATGTGTGCAATGTGACAGGTTGTAAACCAGCCATTTTCCCCTTCATCCACTCTTCAGGGTTTATCTGCTTAAGAGGAATGTGACCCCGCTTTCTACCCAGTGAGTAAAATAAAAAATTTTGTTAATGAGCTGACTAAGCAGCATTTAGGATCAGTCCCCTCGCCCCCATCAGTTGGGGGAAAGGATTCTTGGCAGCCCTGCTTCGAGGGAAATGCAGATGCAGAGTCTCCGTGGCAGCCCGGAGGGGTGTCAGCTGGGGGGGTTGGTGTGCAGAACGGCGCAGCGTCACCGCCCTGTCCCCAGCGTATGGGCCGGCGGGGGGGGTTGCAGCCTTCATGGCAGGTACGCAACGGCCTTGGTGTTGAAGGGCTGGCACATTGCACCTTCTGTCCTTGCAGCTGGAGCTTGCAGTTACCACAGAGTAATTACCGTAGGTAAAGCAGACGCTTAGGACGCCTTGAGTTTTGGGGCTCTTGTGCTCTGCGTTTCACCCCTTTTAATGGGAGGACCTGAGGATTGCTACCTCGGGCCTGTGCCAAGGTGCCTTCTGAGAAGCTGCTGCTTTTCCCCTCTCTGCTGCTCTTTACTTCTTGAACTTGGCAATTTCTGTTACTTCCATAATAATCTTTAAAATCTAAATTGTTACCCCGGTTTGAGAAAACCATGTGAATGTGCTTGAGCTCCATTTGTACTTGGGTGGTGTATGTCACAAGAATTCGTGTGGTTAGGTATCTTAACTATTTTTGCATTTTTCCTCCCCGTCACAAACAGAACATTCTACACATCAATATACAGAAAAAATACAAGATACTGTAAGCGAAAAATTTGACTGTCAGGGAACTTGCGATTCTAGAGGAAACGGGTGAGTTGTGGCTGTTGTCTGCTGAGCACTATTGCTGGAGACGCTGTGCAGGAGCTGGGCTGATGTTCTCTCGAGCAGTCAGGTGTACGGTGTATGGCTCTCCTTGTGGAAATGTGTGTGTACTTTTATCTGCATGCTCTGCTATCACGAAGTGCATCTGATGGTTCTCTTGTGCCTTGCTGAGAGTTGTTGCAGCAGCTCATCTCTGTCCACGCGTGTTCCCCTTCGCCTTCTGCTAGGATAAAGAGGATGCAGCGAAACGTGCAATTCGTGGACAGCCATGATGCAGGAGCTTTTGCTTCTGAAAGATGTGGTTTTTCTCTCTGAGGCCTCAGAAGTAGCCAAAAACCAGCTTTTTGCTGCTGTACATTTTGGTATTATGTTTGTAAGGTCTTGGTGTACCTCTAAGACTTTTTTTTCTGGAGGAGGAGACCAGTGGTCTTTCAGAGACATTTGGGCCCATGGGAAATGTCGATGTCGTTAGCCAGTGCCACGAGCAGGTGATTGTTCTGAATGAACGGGAACCAAATGAGCGGGAATACTTGCTGCTCCTTCTGCTAAAATGCCAATTATGTTGATGATATACATCTTTTCTGAGTGAGAGCTTTGGTCCTGCGCTTGGAGAGAGCTGGGTTTGTTTTGCCATCTGAATGGGTCTGTTCCTCTTTTCTGCACTGTGCTTGTTACAGAGTGCTTGCTTTTTTAACTGGAGAACTGGGATATCTGTTAATAGGCTTTTAGTGATGAACCCTGTTTTCACTCTGTGAAATAATGTGATGGCACTTTTGGGATGGCAGAGAGCAATATCCTGAGGATACAAGGTGGTGGGAAGCTGCTGAATCACTTTAACCAAAGCCAGGTTGGTAGGTACGCCTTAGAGAAACCTGCTGTTATTAATGTAGTAGGAATAACTGACCAGTCGTTTCACAGGAATGGGCTTCAGTGTGAAGCGTGAGCATGAGGTAGGGAAGTCAGTAGAATACTTAGGGCTAACACTTGTTAGCCACGCGTATGTCTGAAATCATGAAGTCAGGTCAGTGGCCCAGAAGCTTCATTCTAGAACTACCCTGATGTTGGGTTTGGGAATCTGTGTGGGCGGGTAGTGTGTGTCTCATACTAAGTATGGGAATGGTGCTGCCTGGTTCCTAGTAGGTGAGCTTTGGAAATGTTTTGGAGAAGACTTTTAAATGAGAACTTGAGAAACTAAGGGTGACAAATCAGTATAGGGAGAGATGGAAGGAGAGAATAGATGGCTACATGTGAGAGGGTTTAACTGTTGAGAGGTAGGATGGAGATGATGTGAACGAAGATTGGGGATTATTTCCTTTTCTTTTAACTGAAAATCTGGTAGTTAGGGAACTATTTAAGTATCCAACAAGTTCAGCAGCTTGTACAATTGACGGAATAGCTCTCCCATAGGGAATGGCTAGAATATTGACAGGTTTCCATGAATTACCAATAAGTAATAATAAGACTTTTTAGCCAACTATGGCATTCTGACATGAAATGGTTTGGGCTTCTGGGAATGAAGAAATCGGTCCCCTTTATGAGAACAGTTTTTTCATGAGTGTTTTCTGTTTTCTCAGGGTACGGAGTCCATTAAGATGGAAAATGGACAAAGCACTGCAGCTAAGCTGGGGCTTCCTCCCCTCACACCAGAACAGCAGGAAGCTCTCCAGAAAGTGAGTAAACTAGATGTGAATTTTGGTTTGTTGGTTTTTCCAAATGAGCATCTGTTACTGACCTGATAAAAGGGAACTCGCCTACCAAGAACGTGGATGGGGTAGTGGCCATGCTGTGTGTGGATTCACACTTCCAAATTTGTGCCCAAGAATTACTTGTTTTGGTTTAGAGTTTATAGATGCTTTTTGGGGAGCATGACGTGGAATTTGCGCTTAGGGTGGGGAAGAGTGTTTTTAATTTAAAAAAAAAAAATAATCAAACTCATAAGTAAATAACATCTTAAGATCACCTTGTAATTCTAAGACAGTATGCAGCTGCACAAAGTCGCTGCAAGGAGCAGCCTGTACTCCACAAGGAATAGGTTTCTGATATGCTCCAGCTGGTCTTTTATTCTGTCCAGACAAGAACACATCATGCAATATCTCTGTTTTTCACTTACGCTCTTTCCCATGTTGTCATAAAGAGACCCAGTAGCAAGTACTTTTCAACCCATTTGAGCAGCCTGTTTTAATCTAGATGAAATTTCAGTCCAGCTCTGATTTCTGGTTGTTGGTCCTGTTTTATACAGCTGGTGGGGAGGTTACTGCTGACTTCTTGCCCACTTTCCTGATGGGAGTGAGTGATGCCTGGCTTACTGAGAGGAGAGCAGAGTTGGGAAAAGAGGGAAAAGAAAACAAAACCAGGGAATGTGGGAGCTGTGGGCTAGGTGTCTTCCATACTCTGGTGAGGCAGGTATAGTATTGTTCTAGGTAGGCTTCGTGCGAATGTTCCCGTAATGTTGAAGTTGCTTGTGTGTGTGTTGTTTGGCTCACAGTGTGAAACGGCCTCGTTTCCTCTGGCTTCACCGTAGCTGACAGATGTAAATCCCCTTGTCCGTTTCCAGGTTTCCGAAGCACACGTCTCAAAACCACGGTTTAGAGCCTACCGTTCCCTGGCACCTCCCAAACACGTACAGCCATGGAAAGCAGGTGCCTGAGGGGTTGGCTGAATGTGTTTGTACCGTCCCCTGGGAATAGGCACATGTGTGGGTATTAGGTTTCCCTTGACAAAGAGCCTCCATGTCGACATCACTGAGTGTAAAGCTCAGGCTTTGTCAAATCTGTAGAAGACTGAAAGAAAAAGACAAATCAGTCTTGTGTCTTCAGGCTAGGAACCAGAGAAGGAGAGCTGGAGCATTTTAGTGAGCAAAAGCAGTGGGTTCTCCAAACTAGAACAGGCCAGATGTGATCAGAAAAGAGAGGGGGAGTGCCCAGTCAAGGGACTGGACATGGGGATTTGGAGCCCCATTCCCTTTTGTAGAACCTCTTTGTCCAGATGTTCTCTGAGTGGAAAGGACTTGGAGGAGGCTATCTGTCCTGCCCTCATGCCAGCAGGTAAGGTGCTATGGTGGGATCGAAGGGGCAGAGGGCGGAAGAGGGGAAACGCTAAGTGCGTAGTGCATGCTGCTTTCCTAACATTGTGCCTGGTGCAGATCGAGTCCATCCAATCCTCTGCTCAAGCGTTGCGCTGTATTTCAGGGCTCACAACTCTGAGATGCAGACAGAGATGTTAGTAAGCTGTTGGCCACTGGCTAATGTACAGTGCCTTAGTGCTTAGGGCTGGAGCGCCAGAAAGTTCCGCTGGCAGCCAGTCGTGTGGTTCTGGGGAACTGTGGTGTAAAATCAAACATCGTTCCCGGCTCTGTGGTGTTGCCCTGTGACTACAGAGTCTGTATTTCTTTCTAGGCAAAGAAGTATGCGATGGAGCAGAGTATCAAGAGTGTGCTGGTGAAGCAAACCATCGCCCACCAGCAACAGCAGCTCACCAACCTTCAGGTGAGAGACCCTCTGAGATGCTCCTTCTGTGTCTTACTCTCCCCAATAAGGTGGAGTTCTTTTTGCACTTAGAACCAGAGCACAGCCCTGAGGCCTGCCCGGAGCCAGGTACATGCACTTGTGTTTCCACAGTGAAGCAGAAGTATACTGTCTTCAGCCCCCTGAAGAGACTCCCTTTACTCACCTGCACAAATTGCCCCCAAATTTCACTCATTCAAAGAGTAAATTTTTAAGAGTTTCTCTCCTGTTAGCTGGGCAAATGCTTCTTGAAATGCCAGAAGCCAAAGAATTTGTGGTGGGTTTCACGTTCAACTTACCTTTAAGGTGGTGTCTAGGGATACGCGGAACAGTATCCTTCACCATCTCTTCCACTTGAGGGGAGGGTGCCTGTCTCTTCTGTTATTGGCAGTGCTACCCTATTTCCCTCCCCTTCACCCAGGTACACCCGCAATTTCGGAGAAGTTCCACTGGCTATTCCTGCTAACACTGGAATGCCTATGTACGGGGAGAACCTGTAACTGCTATTTAAATCTCCCTTCCTTCAGAGGTTTCTTGAACACGTCTCTCTGCCTTCCACTCAAAGTTAGGAAGCCCAGAATAATGGCTTTGGGGTGATGTTTTTTTTTAATGAAGAATCACTGTGGATGTGCTTGCCACATGAGGCAGCTCTGGCCTTTCAGGGCTGTGCATGTTTCTGAGTGTCTGTTCTAGTTGAGGGGCTCCTTTTTAAATGCTGGGGGTGAATCAACGACAGTGGTTACAGAGGTTACTATTGCCTTGAGTCCCCCCTGGGAGAAGACCCTGCTTCCTGAGGCAGTGGCAGCAGCACAACTCCACCCTGACCTGGTGGGACTGGAATCTGCAGGGTCCCAGCGCTGGACAGTCCTTGGGACCAGGCAGTGAGGGGCAAGGAAGGAGAGGCCTCTCTCGCAGGTTCCCTGTGCCGCCGCTCTGCTTGAGTTTTTACAAACAGCCGTAGTATGCTCAGCTCCAACAGACTGAACTCTGTCTTTACTGTCTTTCAGATGGCAGCAGTGACAATGGGCTTTGGAGATCCTCTCTCACCTTTACAATCGGTCAATAGACATATTCACTTCTTCTTGGGCACTTTGTCTTAGTCAGGGCCTAGAGTGGGGAAGTATGTAGTGGTAATACAATGCTCTTAACTCAACCCAGCACAACCCTCCCACATACCCACCTGTTATGGACAAGCACAACAAGCAGAGGCAAAGTGTAAACTTCCCAGAGGAAGACCCTAGGCTGGGTGCAGTCTGCTGTGACACTGGCAGTCGGGGTCCTGGAGTCAGTTGGCAAAGAAAGCTTTAGATTTCGAACAGTTCTGAACACACCTGTGAAATTGTGGGAGCTGCATTTCTAGGGATGCTACAGTTCTGAGGTCCTGACCTAAAACTAACTGCCAAGGTAACTCACAAATGGGCAATTTCTTATGAAGCAAACTCACAGCACCGGAGACCTGGCAGCTAAGGTGCTGGGGAGGCCTGGGGCACTATAGGTTTGCAGAAGATATTGTAGCCCAGGTGTAAGACTGCTCTTACTGTGCATGTTTCTGGACTAGGTGAATATGGCATGTTTCCAGTAAAGTAAAAGCAGGATGGAAGTAACAGAACTGCAGGGCTGTTCGGAGAACCTGTGCAGTCCTTTAGAGCTGGAATTTCTAATCAGATGCCACAGAGAGCTTAATTACCTGGGATTATCCATCCCCTCCTTTTTCTTAGACGTGTTGGACTATGGCCAATGCAGAAAGTGTCCTATAAGTGCCACTCTGCATGCAAACGTTCATTTGTAAATATTTTTCCATCGTGCTGGAATATAATATTTGTGCTTGGTATAAAATGCAACTGGAGGCTTGTACTCCAAAATGAAAGATGCAGTAAAACTAAAATCACATGTTTTCCCTCCTTTAGCACTGCCACAGTAGGTAGAGTGTCAGCAGGAGAGCCAAAATAAATTTTACGGGGGTGCATAGGTTTGGAATGGAATAGAAGCGTGCATCTTGATGTGAATTTGGCATAGCTGGTTTCTGAACCTCATGCCCATACCAGTTAATACTTGATATCATAACTCCATCAATTTTGCTTAAAAAAAAATTTGGCTCATTATTCACAGCTGGGAAACAGATCCAAAGTGTGTCCTGATAATGTAACAAGAAATGTTTAATTTCTCCTTAGCCTCAAGGGCATAGCCAGTACTGTGAATCCTTTTCCCAAGACATTCCTGCCTCTCTAGGGAGCCAGAGACCACTGCTGACGGGACAGAACCTAGAAGCAGGAGTTTGCTCTGAATCATTCGGCTGTGGCATGGTTCAGGGTAGTTAGGATGCCCTGTCCTCATCAAATGCCTTACCCAAAGCCCATCAGGAATGTAGGAAATGCAGACAGACCTCTGTCCAACACTTTTTCCTGTTGACAAGATCCATCAATTCCTACATGAAGGAAGCGCAGCCTGAACTTCTTATTGCAGTATCTTAGTGCCTGAGATTAAAGCTTCCTGTCTGCTTAATCCTCCAAATATTACAGCTCAGAATTTCCATGTCACTTCAGCAAGATGAGCACAATTTCCTGGCGTCCTATGAAAATTGAAGCTAGTGATTATGTTTTTGCATCACCTCCTTTGTTTAAAGAAGTACTCAAAGATGATGTTTTGGCTTGCCCTTAAAATAACCTTCATAAGCACTTAACAGTGACATTACATAGATTAAAACTATCGGCTGCTGCCTTTATGGTGGTTGCAGATACTTTAAACTCCATTTTGTAGGTGGAGAAAAGGGGCAGTGGCCAGTAAAGTCTACTTAGTGTAGCTAGTGCAAACAATGAGGTTTCTCGTCACGAGTTTGACACTCGTGTGCTTGGTTCCCAGAGGTACCTTGCATCATTCCCCTGACTTGAGGCTACCGATCCACGTATCCCTGTAGGCATCGTGGTGCACCTCAGCTCTGCCTTCCGTAGGCCCAGCTCTCTGGTATGGTGCTGATGTAACTCCACCCGCCCTGTTTTGCTAGGATCTCTGCAGCAGGGTAAGGTGTGGATTGCCTCCTGTAAAGGCTGCTGCCGTGGGAGGGGACAAATGCCGTTTTTCTGGCACCTGTGGCATTGATAACTGCGAATGGGGAAAGGTCCCCTTTGCATATATAGACCTTCAGAAGGTGACAAATCCCCCTGCCTGGTGCAAGGCTGCAGTGTCTCATCAAAAAGCACTCCTCGTAAACCACTAAACTTTTATCACAGTCTGTGGCACCATGGGTGAGGCACTTCCCTCGGACACTTGGGGTTGGAATGGTGATGGCTCTGAACCCATAAATGGACACACTACACTGACTGAGGGGCTACTGGTCACTGGCTTTCCTGCACCAAGCTGGGAATGTGCTGGAGAACCTGGGAGACAACACGTCAGCTGTCCTGCCTGTACACGTGCCATAGTCCTCCTAGTCACAGCATTGCAGAGTAAATTGAAAAACAGCTTATTTTTAACTGTGTGAAATACTTAAACCCAGTCAAGAGGCAAGCTTAATATCACTTCAGGAGCAGCAGTATGGGGTGAGAACCGTTCCTATTTATAGTATCCCTGCTGTATTGAATAATAGGAGTTGGACCTTTACAGTTTGCTTCCTCCTGTGGTCAATGTCACTCACATATGGGTACTATGAGGGAGAAGGGTTTCCTTGGGTACAGTTTGAGTCCACGCTTCTGGGACTACCACAGATAAAATGCTGTCCCTTCTATTTTGCCATGTGAGTTGCAGCATCCCCGGCCACGTTAGAGCTGATTGTGCTCGTGCTCGTTACGGCACTCTGAAGGTAGGCCTCTCGCAAAGGCCTGGGTGAAAGACCCTCTGAAGCAGTGGAGGTGGGGAAGAGGTGGTGGTTCAGAGCTCCCTGCTTTGGTGCCAAGCACTGCGGTGCTGGGGAGGGAGAGAGGCATCAAGCTTAACGCTGCGTTTGCCTACTCTGCAACAGTCCGTAGCCCTTACTGCTTTACATTGGTTCCATCTGTTCCACGCAGAACAGGAGTGAAGCCCTGCGCATATCTCCAACGCACTGTAATTCAGTCTTGCTGATCATAGGGAGCTGCCTCTGCAGAGACCTAATTTCTGCCTTGGTCCCAAGACGTGCTGCTAGGAGATGCTGGCCAAACCTGTGATGATTTTTTTTTTTTTTTTTTTTCTTTTTTGTAGGCAGCATCTTCCTAGAATAATGTTCATTAGTAGTAGCAATTCTAGAATTGCAATAAGGGTGAAAAATAATTGAAGGATACTTTTTTGGATACGTGCTGTAAGAAATTTCTGGATTTGTCTTGCAAACAGGTTTTCAGGCATACTTAGGAGAAAATAGCACAGAGACCTTCTCTGCACCGAAACTGCTAAGGGCGGAGTCTTTGGGGGCTGCACCACTATCTGAGCCAGTACCAACAGGCAGTGATAAGTACTAGCACCACACGCTTAACTAAGAAGTTTCATTTAACCATTTAATTTCTTTTCCTTTGCTTTTGAACTGTGCGGTGGAAGTGGTGTCTAGTACTGGATCTCATACTGCCTGGGGCGGGGGGGGGGGGGGGGGGGG